ATGCCATACATTTGCCAGCATGGTTCTAGAAGCTCCAAACTGTTGGAATGATGAAAAAAATGCCAAAAGGGCCTCTCTCTTAATTCCCCTTTTCTCCTTAGGTGAAAGGAAGTGCCTTCCCTCCTTCATTTACCCTCTTCTCATAAGAACTCTTCATTTTCTAGACCCAGAGGGTGTTATACATTTAAGACTTTACTTGCAAGGTTTTGTTATGGAACATAATAAAGCTTATACTGAATTTTTGTTCTCCAGGATGCAGAGAATGACAAGAACTGGGGGCATACACATACCTACTTTAATGAAAGCCTGGTTTTGCTGAAGGAGTCTGAAACATTAGGAAGCTGCCTTACATCAAGTCAGACTATTGACTGGCTGACTGGCAGCAGCACTTCAGGGCTTCGGTCAGAAGTCCTTCCCACCCTTCTTTGAGATACCAGGCATTAAACCTGGGACCTTCTGCGGGCAAAATAAGAACTCTTCCACTGAGCTCAGATTGACTTGTGTTCTGATACATGTTTTTATTGCTGTGATTCTCTCTTGTGACCCCTCTTGGTTGTTCTTACTATGGTTTCACAGTGACAGGACTCTTTAACCATGACAACAGTAAACACCTGCACAGTTCCCCAGTAAAATTGTTGCCGCCTCCTTCTAAGACTTTTTGCTTTCTACTATAATATGTAAATGGTGCTACAAATAATAATTTTAAAGAATTTTTGCAGCAGCAGAATCTTGATGTTTGGTCATTCATAGTGGACCATATATTTACCGTATATACTCATTTATAAATCGGCCTCATTATAAGTCAAGGGCAGGTTTGGGGGCTAAAATTATGGATTTTGACATGACTCATGGAAAGGCAAGAGTAAAACTAAGGAGCATGTAACAAGGGATGTAAAGGATGAAGCAAAGGAAAACTATGGCAAAGAACTTACAAAATTTCAGCAGGTATAAATGTTTGTGCTCACACTAAAGACTGGATGGATCAGAGTAGAGCAGGGATCAGTGGTTCCAGGGCAGATTACACTCTTGCCTTTCACCAGTGGATGGTTCCTTTTTAAAATAAGAGTTAAAGTACAGTACTGACACTGACCTGTGGATAAGTCAACTCAGGTTCTTTGACAAAAATTCCTAGACTTATACATGAGTATATATAATATGTAAATTCTGTAAAAGTTAAGAAGTTGACTACATTAAACTAGACCACATGAAAAATAAGGGGGAAATGATTAGTTGTACTCTTTGTAATCAAAAGGTGTGAATAAGTTGAAACTATCGGTTACTGATGTTTCATGTCAGTCTGTTATTGAAGTTCCCCAAACTTTTTTGCTCTTTCCACAGAAGTGGTTGGAAACTATTGCCAAACAGTATGCTTACCTTGCCCCAATCAAAGACCACAATCTTCTCTTTTTCTGATCGCTGCCTTTGCACTGTCATAGCCTGCCTTAACCATGACTATATAGACCAGGGGTAGGCAACCTTTTTGAGCTGGGGGCCAGGTTGCTGTCCCTCAGACAATTGGGGGGCCGAAGCACCAAAAAAATAAAAATAAATAAATAAATAAATAAATTTTAAAAATTAAAATTTAAAAAAAAATATGCATGCACACTCTCTTGGCCCCAGAAAAGCCATGGCAAAACCTCTGTGGAGATTTTGCCAAGAAAACCCCAAGAACAAGTAATAACAACAATAATCAATATCATCATGGTGGGCGGCGGCGGTGGCGGAGGCAGGACCAGCCTGGGGCTGGTCCAAAGGCTTTGGGGGGCCGCATCCAGCCTCCGGGTCTTAGGTTGCCTACCCCTGATATAGACAAATGTGTGGCATTTCAAGAAAGCCAGGAAGTTCCTGTCTTTCCTCAGGGTGTGTGCTCATACACTCAAGGTATCTTTCAAGGCCCTAGAGGCTAATTCTCAATAGTTTGAGGACATACACATGAGTGTGCACACACATAAGTACACATAGGATGCTTTGATAAAATACAGTGGGCCCTTGGTATCCTCTGGGGTTTGATTCTAGGATCCCCCATGAATAACAAAATCTGTGGATGCTCAAGTCCCATTATATACAATGGCATAGTAAAGTGATGACCCTTATATAAAATGGCAAAAATCAAGCTTTGCTTTTTGTAATTAAATGTATATATAAACATAAGTGGATATCCAGAATCCCTGGAAACAGCTGACTGTTTTCTGAAATCCTGTGGAGAAAACCTATACAAGTGCAGTCATTCCTGCTGGTCTCATTTTATTAAGCAAGACTTGAAATCATAGTGAAATTTTTGTAGATTTCTAAACATTTTTCAGTGCTGCGGAATTATTATGTAATGTTTCATCTTGCAATATGGATT